AGTGAAAGTTAGCTTTAGCTGGAGACGGGAGAGAATGAGGACCAAAAGATGTGTTGCAATAGCCACTCGTGAGTAAGATTTGAATCACAGCTATGGGGGCGACAACAGGGACAGATTTTAACTATATTGCTCAAGAAGAGAATCTCAGTGACATGGATAAAACACCAACTAGGAAACTGAGACTGGGGAAAAGGGGGCAACAAAGGCTTCACTGAGCCAACAAAACAAAAGTAGGAGCAAGTGGGAAACCTGGATCAGAAAGAAACTCTATTTGGAACTGGAAACATTCAAATAGTATTCAGTTCAAATGACTGGAAATACAGGGATAAATAAATTAAAATGCATTAAACAATTCAATTAAGAGTACATTTATTTCCAAGGATAATAGGGAAAAACCTGCCAAAAAAGGAGGAAACCTGTTCCCTCAGTCACACTATGTCAAGCACAACATTCATCAAAGAAAGGAAGGAGCAATCCACCCCAAAAGGATAATAACAAAAATTCTTCCCAGTTCAAGATACCAAGCAGTGATATGTTTTCTGAAAATGTATATGTTTATTATATTAAGCTTAAGTGATTTCTAGCAGTTCTCAGAGATCAAAAACAAAACGCACAAATAAACCTGGTAAACCTGCTGAATCTGGTAATGCAGTATCCAGCACAAAAAGAAATTTATAGAAAAGGAATATTACACTGGAGAAAGAAATAATTCAGATGAGAAGGAGGGCAAATTTGGGAAAGAATAGCCACAGCTGAGTTTTAAGAGTAATTGCTTATTGCCATAAGGTGTTTTCAAGTCAGTAATTTTCCCTCTGCTTTCTCCTCATCCAGCATGGGTTCTCCCTCAGAAGAAAGATTTGGGACATCCTGCTTTACTGTAAGAAAGGTGCTTGTTCTGCTAATAGTTTTCTTTAAAGAGCTTTTTTTATTAAAACAAAGAAATTAAACACACTGGTTGTAATAATGATGAGGGGGCAAACACTAAAAAAAAAAAAATTCATCCATTCTCAACCTGACTGGCAATCATGTAGTGATAACCCACAGCAACAATGACAGTACCAATATAAAGAGTAATGAGAGGAATTCTAAACATTTTGGCTTAAGAAGAGTTAATAAGTTTAAAGCACCATGATCTTGCATGCAACTGTTCTGAAGTCTTTTTCACGCAGGAAGAAATTTATGGACACCTGCAATGTTTGATCTTGATGCTCTGACAAGTTATGAATTGTTTCAGTAAGTGAAGAGTAATGAGCAAAGTAACTTTGAAACATGAAAAGAAATTATCTGAATGACCAAGGCTATACCTTATACAGATGGGGTGGCATGGTAAACATCTCTAACAGAAATTAAATGTAAGTAACAGCTTCATTGCTTATTTTGTTGAGAAGTATAATCTCATTTTAGCTTTTTTTAAACATTGAATGTCTAAATAGTTTTGTGGAACAGTAGGCTTGTGTAAACCTGTAAGTTGCATCCTGCTTCCATCCATAACCTGTCATAGGAAAATGAGGTAAATGAGTCTCATGTGACTTATCTAAATGTTTTCATTTATCACCTTTAGCCTTAGAGCTTTGTTCTAATCCAGGAGAGAGACATGCATCTAAAAACAACCAGCCGTCAAATCCAGCCTGACCTAAAACCAACAGCAAAACAAAGCACCACAGATATTTCTGTACCCAGACTGCTATGCTGGGAGAGAGCTTCATAAGGAAAGCTCAGGGTGGATACATCTCAATGGTCTCCTCTGCTTCACCAGTTTTCTTGACTGTTGTTTGGGGTTTTTTAAGGGGTTTGATTTAATGAGAGAGAACTGTGCTTTTAAAAATTTTTTGCATACTGTGTATATTAAATAAATCAGATTTAATCCTCTCCTATTCATTATTACATGGGGCTTTTGACTTTGACATATTTTGACCAAGCATAAAGGGGCAGGATCCAGCATGCACAAAGTTATACAGAAAAAGAATCAAATTACACTCTGACAGTTTCTGGACTTCTGCTAGTGACCTCTGCTCATAAAACTTGTTGCTTTGTGATTGTCCAGCCTCTTCTATTCTTTTAATAAGAATAATCCAAATATTAATGTAATTAATTTTCCATTAGTACATGTTAGTTCTGTAAGGCTTCAGTAGGCAGTAATAGAGAAACAGAACCCTGTGTGTTCTATTTCAGCTGATAACGTGCTGGCTGCAGTACCAGGTCTCTGCAGTTCCCACTTCAAATAAATACTCAAATGGGAAGGCTCTATGGCTCTATCGACTTTGTAGTGGAAGTATTTCACGATGAGCCAACAAAAACAAGGCCCATTGTCTGTTAAAATCTCTATCATCAAATCAGCAAGAGAAACCACAGCAAATATTTGAGTGCAGGGCCAGCCCACTTCCTGCATTCTGCCCGTAGCTGGAGGAGGAGGCAAAGGCGCTGCCAATTTTCCCTGCTATGGTCTGTCCTCCCAAACTTCTGAATGAGTCTGTGCTGACTTGGAGCTGCTCATCTGCTCCCACAGAATTGTTATGAGAGACTCCATATCTGGCCTTTAAATAAATGAAAAGGCATTTCTCTTTTGCAAATGAAAATGTTTTGTGTTTGAAAAGCTGTGTGTGGCTGTGCAGGCCTCTGACAAAGCCAGCTGGCTACTGGAAAGATGGAAAATCAACAACTGCACAAATGTGGCTGCATCTTCCACAACTGTCAAACTGTTAGGCAGTTGTAATAAGATTATTGCATATTAATAGAATATAAAATTAATTGAAGGTTATTACAGCTAAAAACCTAGTAAATAATCTAACTTCTGATTTCTAAAAGCTTGCACATTTAAATAGCTCATGGATTTTTATATTTAGTATGGGATTAAGATTTAAACTGTGATACAAATTTACACAATCCAGTAACTGTCGATAATTTATACTTTAAAAGCTCTTTCAGTACAAAATGGTTTATTGCAGTCTACTGTGCAAATATTTAAAGCGTGGCATAGATTCTACTCCTTTGCTGCTTTCTGCAACACCAGTCATTTTCATGGACAAAATGTTTCCAAGTTCTTTAGAAGAATCACTTCCAGAACAGGGGTTAAGAGCACTCTCCTCCATGCCTGGAGTAACACAGCCCTCCTTGCTGCAGACAGAGCTTGCTACATGTTTGGTGTAGGCTGAGGAGCCAACAGTTCATAAACAGGAAACAACCCACAACTCATTTTGAATTCCAATAAACATTTTGTGTTTTACTGCCTTTGGGACAGCACTTGTGTGTGAGTCAGGACAAGATGAGGTGTGGATAAAAGCTGAGTCAGCCTGGCATGCCCCTCACTGGCAACTGTGGCAAATCCCTCAAAACTTGCATATTCCCCAGGCAAAAGCCTGCATCCATTCCAACATCTTACTCTAGAAAATTGTACTACAGCACTTGCATCATGTCACCTCACCTGTGATGAAATATGTAGGTGTTAAACCTGGGTATTAACCTGCTAAATCAACTGATTCTTGTGGCATAGGGTGTTGGCCCAGCTTGGGACAGACCGTGGAGCAGCTCTGGTGGTTGAGAAGTTGAACAGTGACCAGAGCCAGTTTGAAACACTTTGAAATACTTTAAATCAATATAGGGCTTTTAGTTATCTTCTTTTTTCCATGCTCAATATTGCCTTTTGCTGGCTGGTCCTGAGCCGTGCCTCTGGGGGCTTTTCAGCCTCCACGGTCACTGTTGTTTCTGCACTGAGTGCTCTGGTGTCCAGGGCCATGTGCTAAACCCAAATTTATGAGAAATCTATGGAATTAAGTGTAGTGCTCACTGTGCTATGGACCAAACCCCAAAACAGTGCTCTCTTCCCTTTCTAGGCCTCATTTAACTTCCCACTGGAAACCTCTGAAGTGAGTCTTGTTTTATCATCCCGGTACTGTGCCATTGACTACTCAGCTCACTAATTAAGTGAGGTTCCTGATTAAATTTTGGTTTTGACTGGTTAGTTGGTTGGTTGGGTTTTTTTCTTCCCCACATGGAACGCAAACGTGAAGGCAAACACGCACTTACATGATTTTGAGAAACGTTTCGTGGAGCGATGGACGGGCGCAGCCACGGCCGTCCCTCAGGCATGCGGCGCTCCCCGGGGCCGCGCAGCCGCGCCGCCCCTCCGGCCGCGGGGCTCCGTGCGCCCCGGCCCAGCGTCCCGGGGCTCGGGCTCGGCCCCTCAGCCCCGTCCCCCGATACACAGCCGGGGGCTCGGACGGAACTTGGGCCGGGGGCTGTGAGGGGTCTGAAGTGTATGAAGGGAGTGAGGGCAATGAGGAGTTTGAAGTAGGGGGATGTGAGGGCAGTGAGGGGTGTGAGGGCAGTGTGGGATGTGAGGGCAGTGAACGGAGTGAAGGCAGTGAGGGGTGTGAGGGCAATGAGGGGTGTGAGGGCAGTGAGGGGTGTGAGGGCAATGAGGAGTGTGAGGGCAGTGTGGGGTGTGAGGGCAGTGACCGGAGTGAGGGCAGTGTGGGGTGTGAGGGCAGTGTGGGGTGTGAGGGCAATGAGGGGTGTGAGGGCAATGAGGGGTGTGAGGGCAGTGAGCGGTGTGAGGTGCGTGAGGTGCGTGAGGGCAGTGAGGGGTGTGAGGGCAATGAGGGGTGTGAGGGCAGTGAGCCGTGTGAGGTGCGTGAGGTGCGTGAGGGCACTGAGGGGTGTGAGGGCACTGAGGTGCGTGAGCGCACTGAGGGGTGTGCGGGCACTGAGGGGTGTGAGGGCACTGAGGTGCGTGAGGGCACTGAGGGGTGTGAGGGCACTGAAGGGTGTGAGGGCACCGAGGGGTGTACGGGCACTGAAGGGTGTGAGGGCACCGAGGGGTGTACGGGCACTGAAGGGTGTGAGGGCACCGAGGGGTGTGAGGGGAGCGGGGCCGCCCGCGCCCCGCCAATGGCGCACGGCCGCGGCGGGAGGTGTGTACCGACCTCACTTCCGGGACCTGTCACCGGCCGGTCCCGCCCCGCTCCCGTTCCCGTTCCCTCCCCGCTGCCGCTCCCTCCCCGCCGGCAGCCGGGACGCGGTCCGGCCCGGCCCCGCCCTGCGCAGCGCGTGGCAGCGATGCACGGTACTGCCTTAGGGGCGGCCTCTACCCACGCCGTGCCCGTGTCCCGGCCGGGGCGGCGGCAGGAGGCGGGAGCGCTCGCCCGGGATTGGGTGACGCCCCCGGCTCGCTAACGCGGCGGCGGCTTTGCTAATGACCTGTCTTTCTTCTCCTCCCCTCCCGTGCTATTCGCTGTTACTTATCTCCCGGCCCCGCGGTGCGAAGCCCTCGGCGGAGCGGCGGCGGGCGGCAGGAGGAGGTAGCCGGCCCGGGGAGATGCTGTAGCGGCTCCCGCTGCTCGGTCGGAGCGGCGCCCGCCCCGGCTGCGGGAACGGGGCCGAGGAGCTGCGGGACGGGCAGAGCCGGCCCGGCGCAGGTAAAGAGCCGCCCGGGGAGCCTCCGGGGAGCGGGAGTTCAGGGCGCTGAGGTGGGAACAGAGAAGGGGGCAGTGCGAGGGGCTGTCACACGAGGGGCTGGTTGGCAACTGTCGTGTCTCCTAAATGGAACATCTGGGTTGCCCTTACCCCGGAACGAGCTCGGGCACTGGGCAGAAAGTGCGTGCTTGGAGGTTCCCGCTGTTGGCCTGGCTCAGGCGGGCGGGTTGTGCTTTGCCCGGGCGGCTGGCCACAGGAGGGTCCTCTGGCCTGAAACCAGGAGCAGGTCAGGAACGCCTCCGGGCCTTAATTCTGTGGTTTGCCGCGTTCTTGGTTGTCCCTGTGGAGCTGGATACTTGCTTTTCAAAAAGCATTCCAGCAGTAACAAGGGAAAGGAGTGTGAAAAGGTGTTGCCTTGTACTTATATTAAGATTGACCCAGTCTCACTCAATGATACGGGAAGCTGTTCCTAAGCTCCCTGATGGAAGTAGTATGAGCGCAGGATTCGTCACACAGGATTATCTGGAATGATAATGTTTGGCACTTTTGGCATTGGGTGTCTTAGTAGTACTGCACTAATAAAGGTGTTGCATAAGTTTTGTTGTGAAGGAAAATCGTGGTCGAACTCCTTGTATGACAGAACATGCACAGATTTCTCATCTGGCACTGCTCACCTATTAAAATTTGCTTTGCAGGCAGCAAAATGGATCAGCTGCAAAAACGATTTCCTTTGTTAATCCTAAATGATTGACTTAGCATTGAGGCTGCTACCTGGTCTCGTGCTGGAACTGAGGCACTTGTGGTTCATGTGATGTGGTCACACGTCTGCTAAACCTGAACCAGTATCATAATTTTGTTGGCTGGCATGAGCTACCGAGCAGCCATCAGCTCGTGGTGACTTTGAGTGGCAACTTTGGGAATTTCAAGTAATACAATGTAGTGTATTGGAAGGATGAGAGTATGCAGAGCTTATGGGAGATTTGTGGAACTCCCCAGACAGCATGCTTGCTGTCTTTTCCCATGTTTGGAAGAAACTCTTAGTATGGTCCAAAAAAAACATTCTTATCAAGCTGTTGGTGCCTTATATTGACTGTCATCCTCTACAGTCAGGTGCATATGGAGTTTTGGCTACCTATTGGAAACACCTGGTGGGTTTGTAATTTGCTTTTCAGTAGTTCTTTAGTGTCCTCATTTTCTGTTAATAGTAGTAGTCTTCATAAAGGGTATCATGAATTCTAAACCATGGAGAGAGGGTTAGGCTTCAGTTGTGATTTTGTGTTGTTATGCTTGTAATAGTTCATGTGCAGAATGTTATAAGAATATAAGGGACAATAATGTCCTACAGGAGAGTAGGATATATGACCTGAGATATTAATCTTGTTCTAAAGAATGTATTATAATGCTCACTGTTGTCCCAAAGCAGGCAAGGAAAGATACTTTTCTTACTATTTTTTCAGAAGCAGCTTGTACTTCAGAATTGCAAACAACTCTATTCTTGTCCTTACTTTTCTATAGCTTTCTTGATGAGATTTGGGTTCTGAGTTCTGCTTCTATTGCACATGTCATATTTTTGCAAGGGAAAAAACAGAGAACACCATACTTATCTTGGAAAATAAATGAAGCTGAAGTCATATTTATTAAATGCACAAGCATATTTTCTTACATAACTTTGGAATTTAAACTTTTTTTTAATCCACTTTTTCAAAATCTCTCTGCATCTCTAATTTGCCTGATATTTTTTAGCTATGTATGCTTTTTATATATATATATATATATATACACAGGCCTTATAAAGTATATAAAAACAAAATCTCTACCTTTGAGATGTAAATCCTCAAAATAAAAATCAATTACAAAGACATCTCATGGGGCTGTGTGTGCACCTTAGAAACTATAACTACTGTAAGTAATTCCACAGAAAGACTTTGTGAGAATGCTCTTTAGAGTAAAAGTATTTTACTCTACAACAGATAATTAAAATAGCACAGGACTGTCACTATAGTGTTCTCAGTTGAGTTTTGAATTCTTTTTGAAAAAAAATCTGAATTATATTGGGATATACCAGTTATATTCCGTAGTTAGCTAGATGTCAGTGTGGTCCTGATGTAAAATTAGGGACATATTAAAAAACTCAGTCATTTAGAAAATATCGTAGCCCAAGTGAAATGAAAGTTTTGGGTGTTTTTTAGAAGAAGCATGAAGAAATATTTTTATTAAGTTATATTACATTTTAGCTATGTAAAATCAGTATAATAAGCCCTGGGAAATTTTATTGACACTTTTTTTTTTTTTTTTAAAAGAATGTCAGCAGCTTTTTATTTATGAAGAACTGCTTGTTATCATCAATATGCACATGAAATGGAAGGGGAAGAAATTCTGGAAAACAACTTCTGTTTCAGCCTTGCAAGATGCTGCTTGAAGGGGTAAGTACATACATGGATTAGGCACAGAATCTCTGTAAAGAATGATTAATGTATATTCAAATGACAAAGAGAGAAATCTGAGCATGTAGTGGCAATAAATAATTGATAAACAGAAAATAGTAGCCCAATCAGGAGAACAAAGTAAAACTTCCATATAGCCTGATACTGCTGTCTTAGGTGCTAGTCAGTAGAATTCTGAATTCTTAATATTTTAGAAGTAGAGTGCTTAGCATTTCAAAGGACCAGGTTGTGGCAAGTACATTTTTTTCCCTCTTAGGATTTTTCATAGAGGTGCACAGAGAGAGATAAAAGAGAAAACAATTTCTATTTCTGCTCCTTGTTTTTCCTATGTGGAATGTGTTTGGAGAATTGTTTACCTGGAGTGAGTGCTTGATTAGATTCTGGTGAGGGTTGTTTGAGCCTGATGGCCAATCCAACCCACCTGGGGCTGTAGACTCTCAAGAGAGTCACGAGAAGAGTTAAAGATAAAATCAGAAAAAGGAGTATGTAGTTTTAGTATCCTCCTTTTATATAGTATATTAATGTATTTTAACATAGTTATAATAAAAAATAATTTAGCCTTCTGAATTAAGTCAAACATCGTCATTTCTTCCCATTAAGTTGCCTACATTTACAATACCAGGTCTGTTAAATTAAATATTGAATGACATTTTATGAAGTAGAAGGCTGAATTTTTCACTGAAGCAGAAAGCCTGGTAAGGTTAGTCTGTTCATCATCACAATCCTCAAAACTTTAATCTCTCCAAGAGTGTGATATTTTACATGTTTTAAAGATACTCAAGTAATATGAGGAGACTGTTGTGTGACCAGATTGCATGTGGCATTGAGATGTTGCCAAATCTGACTCTACTTCCTCATACCACCTCTCATAGTTTCTGCTTATGAAACAATATTTATTTATAAGTGCATTGCATGTATCTTTAAATATCTCAGAAGTGTAATTTGTGTGTCCAGTGAAGGAGTTCTCATGCACACATTACTACAGATTATAAACCACACAGCTCCTGGGCACGTCAACCCTGACTGAGGCTTGAGTTGTGATGTGACTGGTTTGTGTGCATCTTTGCTGAGTCTTAAATGTGTGTATGGTGTTAAAATTTTTTACACTTTAGAAAGATGTAAACTACCAAAGAGGCATAGTTTGTTCTGTAGTGTTGTATTCATCTAAATGTAATGGTTTAAGTTAAAGTTGTCTCATGCCTGTGGAAACACTAAAAGTAGGAGAGATTGGCAAGCATTTGGCAAATTACCTATCCCTTTCTAAAAATGCTGATACACTGTCATGGTTTTTAAAAGATGTATAAACTGGGACATTATGTGCTAAATCTTTCCAAATAGTAGAAGAAACTTGTTCCAAAATGTGTCTGCCTTGAGGAACTCAGAGCAGTGCGCTGAAGTTGTACTGAGGTTGTACAGCTCTTTGGCATGTTTCCAGGCAGATGAAATACATGTGAAAGCAAGTTACTCTAATATTTTAATATTTCATATAGTTGTATCTCATTAGTTTGTTTTTATTTTGTTGAGAAGTACATAGAAGGAAACCAGAGCTGCTGTTTGGTATGCTGGTTGAGCAAATCCTTACTCATTTTTGAGTAATAGCATCCTGAAGCTGAGAAAACTTATCATGGTGAATGGTTTAGAGTTTGATGTATTTTAAATGGAAAAATAATACTGCAATGACTTAATATTATTTACATTTAACAACAAAAAAAAGTCATAAAAGTGGACCATTTGGAACTATTCTACAGCCTGTGATTAAGATTTGGAGGCAGGTCTTAATGTTTTGGTGTGTATATCCATCCATCCAGCACTGTTATGCAAAGTTCTATTACCTGAATATAGGCTTGTATTGCCATTCTTTGTTTTGTTTTGTTACACAAATAAGTGCTACATGCCTGTTTTGTTTTAAAAATTATTTACAGGAAATTATTGATATAACAAATCACAGAACAAACCACTGAACATGAATGTTCAGAAGGTAAGAACAGCTCATATCTTATTTGCAAAACCTTACTTGAAAGTGAAGACTTGAATTACTGATGATGTTTGCTGTCAGTGTTACTGCTTCAGGAAGAATGGTACAAAGTACCTGACACTGGAGTCATGGGGCAGGCTTCCATTAAGCAAAACCAAACAAAACCAAACCAAACTCTCTGGCATCTTTATTCAGCACATATGGAAAATGTTCCCTGGAGTAGTAAGGCTGAAGAATATAATGTGGAACCAGTTAGATCTGTGGGGGAGGAGGAGGGAGAATGTGGGTGTTGTGTCAGGAGGCTGCTTTGGAGGCTCTTGTTTATTAGTGCCTGGTGACAGTCTGTCCAACAGAGCAGAGAAATCCTCCAGTACAGCTGTCAATTAATTCCTATACTCTGATGTTAAAATACAATTAATTGCAGCCCACGGGTCATAAGTGAATACTGTTGGCTCGTTGGCAGTTTTCAGTGGAAGATTACAAAATAGCTATATATATGTGTATACATATATATATATAACAAGTTTATATATTCTTGCCCACCTCAGGAAAAAGGATATGTTGTGTGCAGTTAAGCAGGCCAGTGTGATCAAATCGGGTAGCAGCTTTGGTACCTATGTAAGTAAGAGACAAGCTTTAGTACCTAGATAAGTAAGAGACAAGCAGCACAGGGTTACTGCCTCTGGACAAAGCGCAGCTGTACCTGTCATTCTGTGCTGGAGATCTACAGATGTAACTGTGCATAAACAGGCCAATATTTTCAATCAGCTGTCAAATTTTCAAGATAAATATATATTCTGGGCACCTCACTTTCAGCATACTAAGCTGCTGTCATTCTAACCAAATTTACAAGGGGTTGCATTTTCTCAAGATTATAAATCCTGTAATAAATCCCATGAAATTGTAATAGTGATTATCCTCTAAGAATGTGGAATTGTTTCATTTGCAGCTATCATTTATTTTATTTCTCTTTTACATGGCAAGGGGGGGGGTGTGTGTATGAATGAACACATAAATGCAAAAAAGAATGGGATGTCCTCTCAGTGGTTACTGAAAGCACTGCAAAGATGGGCTACAGCAAGAAGTGTGGCTACACAGCGTGGCTGGATCTGATCTAGGCTCCTTCTTTCCTTCTCCCATCCATACGCCTCTGTCCATCCCGGTTGGGTGTGCTCAGGTCTCTGGAGCTGTCTGTGGTTCTCCTGTGTTAGCGATTCAGTGAAAGGAGCTGTTTGACCACCTTTCTGCAGTTCAGATGCTTCCTTGGTTAAAAGGAGCGGAGTGGCAGATGTACAGCTGGGCTGGTATTGCTGTTAAACTGGGCACCAGATACCTTCCACGTCATAGAGGATGAGCAAGGAAAACATGGCAGGAAACTGATTGGTTGTAGTTTGCCACTTTTTGATCATGCAGGAGTGTGAGGCTTGTGATCTGTACACTGTAGTGAGTGACCTGATTTAGAGCTGTGAAGTCATGTGTCCCAAGTATATCCTCTATCTGACACGTCAGGAGCTTGCAAGCACAAGTACTTGATGTCCATTTGCCAAAAAATGTAGATTAATTGCATTCATGTCTGTTGCCAAGGCTCCTGTCAGTAATGCTAACTCAGTGTAAACTTTGTTTTTCCATGATACATTAACATAAAGAAAAATTTTTAAAGATAGGGATGTCTGAATTGTCAGAATACAACTGAAAGACTTTTTCTTAACCAAAAAAAACCACCCAAAAACCCAAACCAAAGCCAACAAAAAAAAAACAGCAACAAAAAGCGAAAGCATTTTGTTTCACATTCCACTCTGAGTTGTGGCATGACATTAAATTGCAGTTAGTTTATTTTTAGCAGGTTTCATTTGTTTATTTATTTAAATGTAATAGCTGAGCAACAAGAGCCTGTAAAAATATTTCTAATGAATGAGTAACATTGTAGCACAATAAAGAATAAGTAAACTACACAACTTCAGGTGCTAGTTACAGAAGACACTGGATTTTTATGTGCAGGTAGAAGTGTATAAAAGCTGTCTTATTGAAATTACTCAGTTTTCAAAACAACACTTGCAAGCAGAATAGGCCTAAATCTGTAATATTTTGTTTGAGGGTCATTATTTTTTAAAGGATCTAAATCCCTCTGTTAAGCTGAATTTAATTTATCACATAAGTCATGTTACTATGTCTGCACAAGGGAATAAAGTTTATCAGTGAAATAAAACCACTGAAAATACACAGTGGTGGTGTTCTCTGCTAAGAAGGCGAATTCAGGCTTCTTGAATGTCTTCCAAAAACAGATGTAAATTCCACTGTAGCTTTTCAAACAGTGAATAATCCTGGTCTGTTATGTTTGGTGATGAATCATGCGAGGAGTTGCAGATGGTGAGGTGGGTGCAGCTGTGCAGATGCTGGAGGAGCTGAGATGGGGGACTGGAGGACCAAGGAGATGAAGGAGGTGATTTGAGGATGGCTTGATATGGGTGATAGAGGAGAGGGATAAGACAACTGAAAGAATATTGACAAGGACTGTAACCTGAGATTCGGGATAGGGAGTGAGCTGGTGACTGAAAGGAAGTATTCTTGAGGAAGAAACATATTTTTTGTTGTTATTGATCCTGGAAGCAAAATTGCAGTATCAGATACCAAAGCAACTGGACTTTTGTCCTGAGCCAAAACAATGAGGAGCCCAAGCTAGAAGTTTAATTTACAAGTGAAAAGAGAAAACTTCATGTCGCTTTTAAAGGAATACTGGCCTTAAGGAGGAGAGCTTTTGTAGGAAAAGGTACAGATGCACGTTTGTGGGCTTTTTTTATTTCTATTTTCTGAGCAGGACATGTGTAATGAGATCAGTGTGGCAAAATCTTGGTGTTTGTCGGATGGAGAAGTTTTATCTAAGTCAAAATCCAGTCAAAATTTAGTCCCACTAAAAATGGGAGGTTGTAAGGCCTAATCACTAAATCGCAGGTAAGAGACTCAAATGTAACTTTTCACAATCTTAATCAGAATGCTAAACACACCTTTCAAATTGTTGCATTAAGTGATTTTAATTTATCTTTTTTTTTTTTTTCTCTCCTTTTAGATTGACAGTTTTGTTCCAAAACAATATCTCTTTATTCAGGAAGAATGTTGCCATAAGATGTCTGCAAGAATTAGGGGGTAGTGCAGGCAAATGTCCAGATCAGTCTTGGAAGAGTTTTGCTCCAAAACTGAGAGCAATTTTCAGGATTGTTTTCTCACCTCATCTGGTCTAGTTATCTGTCAGGTATATGCAGTATGGTCTGCTGTCCTGTGCCCCCTGCCCAATAATTCTAAACCTGCAAATCTTCTCAAATTAGAAAGAGCAGTAATGGCTGCAAAAGCATTAAAGTTCTGTCATTTTCATGGAAGGTGGTGACTGGGAGGAAGAAAGGAAAACACATTATTGACCCTGCTGAGGAAGTGATGCAATATGAATTCAGCAATTGTCTGTTCTCTTTGACCTCTCAATTTCCAGCCAGCACAGGAAGACAAGCAAGCTCAGGCTGAAGCAGCCACAATATGTTTGTGGTGCTTTGGGGGTGCCATGTGCACAGGGGGAAATAGTAAACACCTGTGTGAATGGTAGTTCTCAAATCTGGGTATTGCCTCAGTGCTCCCAAACTTTTATGGTGCTATTTAAACTCACAAAACCATATGCAGCTGCAAAAATTTCATTGCCAGTCAATAAACTCAAAATTAATTGGCATCTGTCAAACACAATGAGTAGCCTTGAATGAGGTTGTATGCAGTTGAAGTACTTATGTCATAGGAACAGTCCTTTGCTCTTCTCTTGAAGAATAAGCAAGGTTGAAATAATATAGGAAGGTTAAATATGCTCAGAAAACAAAAGATTATGTCACTTTTTCTTATCCTTCTTTTATGACATTTCAGCTAAAGACAAGTATTTTTAACAGCGAGGATTTTAATTTCTAAAGAATGTTACTGCTATATGTTATGTTATAATATATATGATATATATTATGATAACATACTAAATAATGTTATTATCAAAAATATATGCCACTTGCTATCACACATAAAGGTCTGCAGATATCTATATCCTGTTTTGTAAGAATACGTTTGAAGTTGTCTGTACTTCCACATGAACCCTAAATATTGTTGAAATACCATCAGTTTCAGAAAGTGCATCCAAGTGTTTGTTTGACTTTAAATTAGTGGCAATTGGCTTTTTCTTTTCATAAATATAGTATGTCTGAATTTTCACATGTGTAAGGAAGAGTTACTAGACAGTTATGCTTAAAGTTAAAAGTAATTATGTTTTCCTTGAGAAAACAGTCATGTATGTTATGTTTTTGTGGGTTTATTTGGTTTTGGGTGTTTTTATCAAGCATGTGAGCGAGTAAATCTTCTGAGTGAGAGGTTTATGTAGCAGCACCATCAATATGACAAAAAATTTGCCTTGCACTGCATCTGTGTGTATTAGATTATAATTTTAATTGCCAATTTCAGTTGCACAGATGTCTTTAATTTGCTACCTTATGAAGTTTATTTTTACCATATGTAGTGAAAATGTATTCTGCAAGAGACTTAGCAAGGGGTTTACGTTTTATTTACTTCAGGAATTGATTATATTGGAGATAATCATTTAGGCACCGCTTTAAAATGCAAATTCTATCTGCCTGTTTCTCTCAGATGTCTGTGTCCTTCAATAAATGAGGTGTCTGTAGAATATCAGGGTATAGTTAAAAAATTGTCTAGCACGCGCTTTTCATAATCTGAGATGCAGTAATCACATGTATAAGGAAACAATTGCAGCATTCCAATTCAGTCTTAAGGATCTGGTTCCCAGTGAGCAGCATGCTGGGGCAAATGCGTGGGCTGTTTGTAAATGCTGTACGTGTTGTAATCAACTTTGACTTCGCCACTCAAACTGACTGATACATATTAATTTTAGAAAAAAAAAAAAAACCTGACAATGGCTTAGGACATCTAATCTATGCCTGCAGTTCATAAGATGCTGTTTTTGTGGGATTTTTGGT